CTTCAGTCAGTGCATTCCTGTTTCTTATCTTCATTCAAGTCAGGCAATACGAATGCTGTTACTGTCCTGACTTGAACGAAGAAGGCGTGAACAGATACTGATGTCAATTAGGTTCCTTCACTGCCCCTTTCCTCCCTGACTGTGTTAATAGCATGTGTTGACTTCATTATATAATGCTGCTCAGAGCAGTGAGACTCAAAGCTGAGAGTCTGAAGTGAGCAAGTCTCAGCTTCATTTTATTGACTCATCTAGTCATGAATATTTTCAAAGGAAATAGCCTGTTGTTCTGAGATTTCACAAGAGTGTAAGACTTGCTGCATGGGGATACAATAGCTTACTTGCCCCCAGTCCAGAAGGAATAGGAATGTATTGACTTAAGTTCTGTACTAGGAACAATAAATCCATAAACAAGAGTGCCGTGATGGAAAATCCTTGCGTACTGCAGTTATTTTAAACTATCTCTTTCTGCTTCTGGCCTGCCTTTGCTCAGGGCAAGGTAGGTCAATGTGTACTTATATCTATGTGTAACAGCATATAAGTTATAGGGAAGAATCAGTACATACAACAATTCAAAAAGATTATGGAAAATGAACTTAAAGATATATATATTTTAGTGCAAGATCATTTGGAAATTTAGGAATAATTTTATCAGAATATATATTTTCTCCTACTTGAAAATCATGCAATATGTGGTATGTGTACTATCAACTCTTAATATTATGTTGTGATTTCTTTCTAGTGTAAGAACTCATAACTAATTAAATAATCTGGGTGGAGTAATACTGTAAAATATTTATAGAATCTTAAACCTGAAAATGAGTTTATGATAGTTTCTTGACATTGTATCTGTATAAAAACTAGAAAACTGGGAGAAATCATGAGATTTTATTTGAAAGAAGAGTTGAGGTAAAGTGTCAGGGTAGCAGAAGGGATGATAAGATGTGAAAGTAAATGAAAAGTTTCCAGAAAAGGGAATGAAGTGAAAACCCATGTTAAAATTTCTTCAATTGGATTGTAGGGTTATGATTATGTAGTCTCTGTGTGTATATTTGTCTTTTTTTTTGTTCAGAATTAGAGTTTCTTACAAAAAGAGTCCACATTATAAATCCAAATAGATAAATAACTTGCAAAAATTTTGGCCTAAACAGTGCATGTCTTTATGTCAAAAATGATATATGATGGAGAACAGCTACTGTTTGAAAGTGTTTGCATGATAAAGTAGTGCTGAATTATTAGAAATGTTTGCAAAAATATATGCCCCACCTTAGTTAAAATTTAGAGTGGCTTTTACCCTAAAAACTATTATCCTACAGTTACTAATAAGATGATTATTTTAAGATAAAATAATATCTCTCATTAAGCAAACATTTAATGTAGTAGAAGTTAAATATGAGGTATGTGTTTTTGTTTACTAACAAAATAAATTTTAAATGGTATCACAGGACATATTCCATCTGGCTAATAATTCAGAATTTCTTGGGAGAATATAAAACAATGCAGTATTATAAGAATTACTGTGCATGAAATATGACAAAGGTTCAAATATTTATCATTCAACCTAAAGGTACATTATAGGGGGGGTGATGTATTTTAAAGTTGATTGAACACTATATTTAGGGTATTTGAAGATACTTGCACTTTTTTCTTTTCTTTTCTTTTCTTTTCTTCTTTTTAACCACCTCTGGCATTTGAGTTCAGGTTAATCATGCCAGTGATGTGGCCACAAAATTTAACTCAACTGTATCCATCACGCTTACAGATCTCCCACAGAGCAAACTCCATGTCACCTTCCAGTTCATAACCCGTCTCTTTCTATCCCTGCCCTGCTGACAGTAAATCCCCTCCTCACTGGCTAATTGAACAGATGCACCCAGGGCTGCTTTCCTGAAGATCTGCAAAGCTGGGCTTTGATGGACAGCAGAAAATGGCACAATGAGAAAACAAAAGCCTTTTAACTGAGAACACTGCTTTGTTCTGCTCAGAACATTAAGGTCACTCCAGCTCATTCTGACTGCTGTGAGGATCTTAATTTTTACTCAAACAATTTTCTTGCAGCTGTCATTCTTTCCAATAATAAAAGTTCAGCTCTGAAGTGTGGGGAAATGAGGGAGAGAGCAATGAGAAGAGCTTATTGCAAACTAAAAACAGCAAAAACCAGTAAAATCTGGCTTGGCTCTGAAGTACAAAAAGTTATTTTCAAAGCCTATAAATTATGACATAGTGATTAACATGTAATTTAAATATATTTAAACAACAATTATATCACATTTCCAGCCCAGCTAATTGGCCTCACAGATGTTCCCTTGGAACTGCTTTGCCCTTCCAGGGGAAAGTGAATGAGGTGCTTTTTATCATGGAAAACAGATTTTAAAAAATGCAAACTGGAAAAAAGGGAAACAGAAACATAAAAAGCAGCCAGTAACCCCTAAAACAATGAGTGCTAAAAGGGTTTTTGCATAGCACGTTTTCTATTTTAATGCAGAAAATGGGGCAAAGCATAAAGATACTCCTATTACTGTGATGCTATTTGGCAGTATGTCCAGATACAGAGTTGGCAGGTTGTTGACAGAAAGACTTGTGAAAGCAGGGACAGTGGATGCATCCTAATGGGGCCTCACTTCATGTCTTGGAACAGAGAAACTGCAAGAGGTCCAGATTATTATTATTTTTATCACAATGCCTTGACAATTGCAGGCATTCTAGCCCAGATCATGACTATAGATAATAAACGGTTTTCCTGATGAAGAATCACATGTGAATTGTTCATTGAATGCTTATCCCTGTTTATGAAATGCAAAATGTGCAGTCAGCTGTGGGTCTAGTCAAGCATGATCCAGTACAGCAACTCTTGCAAGTTAAGGAGTCAGCAGCACACTGATAATAACTAGTATCTTAGAATACCTTGCTTCCTGATATACATAGGCATCAAACATTCTTGGAAAGTGGGGTTTTAAATTTTGAATAGGCTAAAATCTTTGAAAACTCGGAAAATTGTTTTTCACACTATACATCTACCTGGAACTTTTTGAAGACCTCTTAGTCATAGAATTAAATTAATTTAGGATCATTTTACTCTTACTTTTGTTTTAATAATACAAGATAATATCAGGGCAAATTCCAAAAAGTTCTATTTTCCCCCACATATTATTGTATCTTTAGCATCTACCACAGGGTTAGTGCTTTCATTGTAGAAATTTAACAGATTTGTTAAATATTTGTTAAGCCATTCAAGTTTAACAATGAAAGTTGGAGTCAAGGTTTTAAACATGATAAAGTACTACCAGACAACTATATCATTCCTGTATTTTACAAGTCACTGACTTGTATAGAAAATTCAGTTTTTCAGATTTATGAACAAATGTATTTGATTTCATATCTTTCTAAAAGTCATCAAAATGTGACTATACTTAAGATGATTAGAGAACAGGTAAGCATTTAAAAATACCTCTTTGATGAGTAGCTTTGGCATCTTGATTGCTTGACTTTAAAATTTCAGTTTAGCAGATGTGCATATTTAAATTTTATGTATCCTCTACATTTATAAAATATTTTAGGTTTACAGAGTTCATTTATGTACATTATTTTGCTTTATATTCACTAAAAATAGAGAAACTGAAAATGAAAATGAGGGGTCTGAGATGCTTCATGATTGGCCAAATTCTCAAGCCATTTCTAATTGGCACTGTAGCCAAGGCTTTTGATAATGTATGAAATATTCAGAACAGTGTATATCACACATATGTAGGTTTCCATATCATATCCTCAATATGCTGATAACTATATTACAACATTATGTATGGACTTACTAGAGAATAAACTAGGTAAATATTCACAATTCCATTGCAATCATGGAGACAATTAAAATGCAAATTCACCGTACACATTTAGAACTTGTCCCTTGATTAGTTCAACAGATTAAGTTTATTAGGGAAAATTGCATTGTCTAGGTGTACTAATTGACATTAAATAATCTCCATGGGGCCACATACTTTTTAGACTGTTTTATGAATCTCTATATATATATTTTAGTTATCTCCACTTAAGTTTGAGGGACAGCAATAAAACCATCCATTTTTGTCTGTGTTATTCATTTGCCTAGGGGACAGAAGAGTGGAAAAGTGCCTGACACATAGACAGTAACTCAAGAAGTGTGTCTAATGAATGAGTGAAATATACATGTAATGTATACATAAACACACTTATAAATACATACATATATATGGGTGATATTCTTATAGGTTGTACTACTTGCCCTATGGAATATTGTCCTCCATATTTACTATATTTTTCACTCTTTCACTTAACACATAGGGTGGAATATTAAGCTATAGAAGTACAGATGTCTTTTTTTTCCAACCACAGAAACCTAGTTTTGACTGATTCTAAATGTGTAGCAGGAATCTAATGTGTGTTTCAGGAAAGGAATCCATTATCCAAATTTTCTGCTATTTCTTAACTTTAAAAGGAGTAAGACTGAAACTAAAATAGTATTACTAAAGTCGAAAGAGAATGTGCCTTTTTATGAGTTTGTTCTGACAAGCTGACTTCAGTGACATGATGGAAGTCACCGTAACTTGATAGCAAAACTTGTTGTAGACAAATTGAAGTTTCCTTCTATTTCCTGGACCTATTTCTTCTTATAAAATAAATACTGTGATAAGTGGCAATTTCAGTCACTAAACACATAAATAAGGAACCTGTCCCTCAGTTACAACTACTTGTTAGTAGCTGCTTCGTTCTTCTTGGGTTAATCAGAAGAATATGTCTTGTCTACTCATTTTCATTCAATGAAAAATTGGCTTCTTATATATAATTTTTCTTTTCATGTCATGTAAAAGAAACTTACCTGTGGTGAAAATTGCATGCATTTTTAACTGGGCAAAATCACTGTTGTGCGCACTTTCGCCTTTGACACATGTGCCTTTTATTTTTCTTGTCTTTATTCTTTCATTCATGTTGCCTCTTATTATATCCATCATTCCATTTTTCTTTCCTATCAGAGTGAAATTGGACACAGCCCTCCTCCTGCCTACACCCCTATGTCAGGAGTAAGTATTTCACAATCAACCATCAGCTGCTAGGATGCTTGGTCTTTGCTTTCCATGATTCTTCTCCTCTGTCTCTCCATCATTCCTCATCTCACCTTTGCCAACAGTGAGTTAAGAATTTGCTGTAGATTCTGTGGTTGCCTTTGGAGGTGTGCTTTATCTCAGACAATCCTAAAAGGAGACATCACGCTTCAGCAGCAGCTTTGGATTGTCTTCTGGAGAATTTGCCTGAGTTCATGAATTATGCTTCTAAAAAGGAGGTTTTCACTGCTTCCTTCAGAATAGGTCAAATGCTGAAAAAACAGATTCTCAGTGATAAATCCCTGGTTAGGCACGAGGGACTTCGAGTTCCAGTAACCAAAGGGCAGCAGGAAATGGGAGCATTCGGAATGTTTTTATTTTTCTTCTGTTCATAATGGCAGCTGTCTACAATTAATGACACTACTGTTTGCATAAAAATTTACTTTGAAAGTTACCCCAAAATTAGGCAGTTGTGGAAGAAGCACATCAAATACTTTTTATTATCCCAGGTATTACGAAAATTAAAATATGCACTTCCAAATATTCTCCTATGATTTATATTTTTAGAACAGATCATATTTTAAATGTTTTCAGTCTAAAATTCAAATGATGAGTCACTAGGGAAAGAAAACACATCAATACATGCTATGAAAGTTCTAAAAAATGCAAGGTTTGTTGTTCTTTTAGTTATTAGCATTCAATTTTTACTGATTTTCCTAACCACATCTTCCCTCCAAATGTTTTTCTACCTTCACCAGAACCAGTTTGTGTACCGAGATGGGGGGTTCGCTGCGGAACCAGGTGTGTCCGTGCCCTACAGAGCCACGACTAGTACGATCCCCGAAGCTCCCGTTGCTCAGGGTGCCACAGCTGAGATTTTCGATGACTCCTGTTGTAATGGCACCCTGCGAAAGCCAGTGGCACCCCATCTTCAAGAGGACAGCAGCACCCAGAGGTACAGCGCAGACCCCACGGTGTTTGCCCCGGAAAGGAGCCCACGAGGAGAACTGGATGAAGAAGGCTACATGACGCCTATGCGAGACAAACCCAAACAAGGTACAAACTGAATGTTGTGAGATGATTGCTCTTCAATATTCGCTTCCATCAAATTAAGCCACGTATGAAATGGAAATTGGCAAATAGCTGTGCTGTGTAACATCTGTGACCCACAAGAGGCCAACGTTGTTCCCTCTGTGTGTGGTAGCAAATCAGTTGCATCCACATTATTTGGGGGATTTTGAGAAATTAATATTTCAGGGCCCACTTAAATAGGAATCTTGATTCTTAACAAGATATTCAGCATATGTGTATAAGCAGTCAACCTTGAGAAGAACGAACCGAACTTATCTAAATTAGAATATTTCAACCAGGTAGAACATCATGAGTTTTCAGAACTATTGCTTTAATGAGTTTCCTATGCAGATCATGAATATTTGAGTTGTTGGGGGGAAGTATATGAAGATCCTGATGGCATCAATAAAAGATCTGGTCATCCTTTAAAATGGCGTTATTTGAATAACATAGTTTTCTATAGGAAAATCCGATTTATTGTGTAACATCTTATAAAATTGGAGATGTGACTTTTAAATACCTGCATGTGTATGTGTACCTATAAGTGTACACCTAAGCCTAACAGATTGTGACTTTACAAAGCGTAGCAATGACTTTGTAAAGTTCTAGTAGGAATGTTAAAGATATACATCAAAAAATCAAAATTAAAAGAAAAGCCCCAAAGCTCTTTCCTCTATGCTGATAGCACCATGAAATGAAAAGGACAGATGATTTTTATTAATAAAACAATTATCTTAAGTATGAGAGCAAGCTATATTACATTATGAAGTCCATTATGACACTATTATGTCCTTTGCGACAAGTGTATGCTCACTTATAGGTGCAATTTATAGATTCCCTAAGTAAATATTATAAATAACTTATTAAATCATAACTGTCAAGGTATATGAAATCTTTAATTAAGAATTACATCAATTAAGCCCTTAGTAACAATATGTAGGATTTCTTAAAACTTGGCCAATTTCCCTGAAAGCAGACTCCTTTCCGGCAAGATTGTTTCTCTGCCTTCAAGTTATTTCTCCATATGTAATCAGAGGACATAGATAAGTAGATTGTATTGAGAAAAGTTAATATAAAAATTCTAAGTCAACCTACAAAGATTCACTATCAGCTAGTCTAAAACTTTATCTCTTACTACTGAGATGCAAATTTCTGTGAAAGACTGTTTTAGGCAAAGTTTTAATATTGGTTTGAGGAGTCGAGTGGACCTGGTGCGATAACCTCGTGGCCAAAGTCCTCACCTTGAACGCGCCGGGATCCCATGTGGGCACCAGTTCTAATCCTGGCAGCCCCACTTCCTAACCAGCTCCCTGCTTGTGGCCTGGGAAAGCACTTGAGGATGGCCCAGAGCCTTGGGACACTGCACCTACATGGGAGAGCTGGAGGAGGATCAAGGTTCCTTGCTTTGGATCAGCTCAGCTCTGGCTGTTGCGGCCACTTGGGGAGTGAATCAGTGGACAGAGAATCTTCTCTCTGTCTCTCCTCCTCTCTGTATATCTGCCTTCTAATGAAAATGAACAAAATCTTAAAAAAAAAAAAACTGGAGTAATCCAGTAAGAAAATTAAATTCTGCCTCTCTTGTAACTTCTTTTATACATTTTTCAAACAAAACTTGTTATTAAACATTAGTTTTACCATATTCTTGTGGATGGCAATGAAAATGTAATACAATGTGAATTAGAAGACTTCTAGTTCTATAATAATTATATATATCATTTAATATTGGCTTACTATTTATAAAGTTATAAAAGTAAGGGTTGCACTTCATTTTTCACAAGGTTATCACCAAATGGATAGTGTTTAGTTAGTTGAATTTTCTTTAATTCATATACACATATATGATGCTGGGATATTCATTATTGCTTTTTAACTTGTACAAGTGATATTTATCACTTGATGGCATTTTTCTGGTCCACATGTTGTTAGACTAAGTATAGGTTTTAGAAAGTTTATTTTAGAAAGATGGCATCTCAACAAAGACTTGCATCATCTCCACATTCTGACTCAAAAATAGGAATCGCTGAGGGTTTGTGGTATGCAGTAAAAAGAAAGGACCAAAAAGGATCCGCTACATCTGTGTGTACATGTTTATATGCAATCTATAGTACACACTAGAAATAGCATTAAGCTTGCAAAGAGCAGCATTAATTATCAGCATTATTTTATTTTAGCCTAATACTTATACCAGATGGGTTTGGTAGACTGAGCCATACAAAAATAGTCACTACTGGATGGTTCAAGATACAAAACAGTTATTTAACATGATTCAAACTGAGCTTTCTTTTTTGGCATTTATGATGGAATACGACAACAAATTTTGTAATTATACTTCCTGGGTAAGCAGTTACATATAGAGCCAATGAAGGACAAGTCAGATTTGTTTCATTCTCTTCTTCCTAGATGTTCTGCTCCCCATGTATATACGTTCTCTGGGAATCATGTCCAGTCAAATCTGTAATACCTGCACGTTTACAGGAAGCCACATAGAGTGAAAACACTCTTTCTCCACTGCATTACCTCATTGTTGCGTGGAGCTAAGTTATTAATCCTTGGGTTTATCATATGATTTATAAGAATTCTAACTAACCTAAATTTTTCTATCCTAATAAATAATCTTAAGTTCTATTATAAATTACTGACTTGTAGAAACAAGCATTTAAATAACTAGCCTCATATGTTAGAGAGACAAATTCAATTTGAAGGAAAGAAAAATCATTTGAGAGACAGGAATTGTGATTCTCACCTTGTTCCCTTGCTTTGCTATTGACACTTCTGGTCCACATACACCCTTTGCACAGGGTAAAAGTAACACACAAATAGCCATGTGGAAACAAGTTTGTGGTTTTCTTGTTCTCAACAAACATGCTAACCATTGTGTTTAGCCTTGATCTGATGACCACTGTTTTTTTTTTTCCAGAAAATATATTAATTGGTTATTTGTGTGTCCCTTCAGAATATCTGAATCCTGTGGAAGAGAATCCCTTTGTTTCTCGAAGGAAAAATGGAGATCTTCAAGCCTTGGATAACCCTGAGTATCACAAGGCTTCCAGTGGTCCACCCAAGGCAGAGGATGAGTATGTGAATGAGCCACTGTACCTCAACACGTTTGCCAATGCCTTGGGGAACGCTGAGTACCTGAAGAACAATGTACTGTCTGTGCCCGAGAAAGCCAAGAAAGCATTTGACAACCCTGACTACTGGAACCACAGCCTGCCACCTCGAAGCACCCTTCAGCATCCAGACTACCTGCAGGAGTACAGCACAAAATATTTTTATAAACAGAATGGACGGATCCGGCCTATTGTGGCAGAGAATCCCGAATACCTCTCTGAGTTCTCCCTGAAGCCAGGCACTGTGCTGCCTCCTCCACCCTACAGACACCGGAATACTGTGGTATAAGCTCAGCTGTGGTTTGAACGCAGAAAGACAAGCCCACTCCAGTTTCCATACTCCCCTCTCTTTCTCCGATGGTCTTCCTTCTATCCCTATGGCCAGTAGTGTTGACGCTTCCCTGTGGAAGATACAGAGATGCAATGATAGTTATGCGCTTCTATAATATAACTTGAATATTAGCAGGAAAGACTGAAGAGAAAGATAGGAGGAACAGCATCGTTTCTTCATTTTTCTGCTTTGGTTGCTTAGGAGAATGCAACAGCTCGGAAAGGACCAGACCACATGGGGCAGAACTGCCTGCAGTTACACTTGTTCTCAATTTCTTAATTTCTTTTTAACATAGACGGTTGAAACACCTCTACTATCTGTTGCTATCTGTAGGAACTGATGCATACGTAATCCACACCCCTGGAAATCCTAGTAAAGTTTCCATTAAAACAAAAGGAAAACCTTTCCTGTAATATGCATCAGTAAATGAGATAGAGTATCCAATGTCTTTTGACAACAGTTGTTATGTTGGCTAATAAGAATGGCCAACCCTGCTTTGAAAACATTCGAGTCTCTATCAAATTGTGAACTAGTAATTATGTTTTAAAGCCTTTTATTTTCATATTGGTTTTGCTTTGGCTTGATCCTTATTTTACTTTCTTCCCTATTTTGACTCTTAACGTTCCAATTGTAAAGATAGTTACATCAAAGCTGCTTGACAGAATTTAAGTAAGAAGTACTCAAGATGGCCACTGTTTTAAATATCTAGTCTTTCACGTTAGGAGAGGAAGCCAAGATATTGATTAACTGAAACAGGAAGTCAAGTTTTCATGTTTGACATTATTGAAAATATCCTCTTCTCATCCTTCATATTCTTCAACATTTTCTTCTCCATAAAATGATAGTACTTGGTAGGCAGTTAGTTGTCTTAATAATTAGAGACAGTTCTTTGTGGTTCAAGAAAACTACTGAAACGTTTAGGGGTGGTCCAATGAGGGAATCCACTGAACTGGAAGAAACACTGGATTGGGTATGTCTACTTGGAAGAGACTCAGAAATGTAGTTTGCACTGAAGATATGATTTTATTTGTTCTTTTTCAATTTTGGATTTTGAATGAAGCAATATGAAAGCAACCAGCAAATTAACTAATTTCAATACATTTTTTAAAAAAAGAGCTAAAATAAAGGAAGGCAATGAAAATGCCAAACCATGCAAATTAGAACTTTGGACAGTATCCAGGAATTGCAGTGAGAGCGCCAGCACATGATCTACTGTGATATTATATTTGCTATCAAGAAAATGTGTTCAGTTTGTCTACTTCATATGAAGAGATCCAAGGATTGGCTTGAATTCTGTGGAATTTCTAATATGAGACTCTATTTATATTGAGTAGAAAGTAGCTCTTTGCACAGAAATTGGTATAATAAAAAATATAAACATCCACAATTTATGGATAGATATTTGGGTCAAAAGTTGTAAATAAAGAAGAATACTCTTCTCATGTAATTATTTTAATATCCAACATACTGATCTTTTGATACTTATGTAATAACGTTTTTCTTTACATACTGCATTCTAGTTCTAGAACTATCTTGATTATGTATCATGTTGAAAGAATGATACATAATTAACCTACTTGACCTACTAAGTTAAGATGAGTCACAGGAAGAAAAGATATGGATGAATCTTCATAAAAGGGTATATCAATAATTAGGATAATTAAACGTGTCTCTTTTCTAAGAAATTCTGCCCAAATCGTTAAGAATTTTTTTCTAAAATTAGGCCTTTCTGATATTAAGATATTGATATCAACAAGTTAGAGTCGATAGCCTAAAAGAAATAATTTAGAATAAACACCTCCATCGGTAAAAGCAGAGAGCTGTATTTCTGTCTATTTTGGAAAAAAGTAAACATATACATTCATTCATACTTATTTATTTCACTTATGTAGCTTCTGCCAAAAATGTTGTGTTATGTGAGGGATGCCCTGATAAAGCGGCTGGTATCCCTGACTTCAAAATGTTAACAGTCCAGGATATTTATTGATAATGACATTTTAACTTTTCCATGGGTTCCCTATTGCATGAGCTATTTTATAATAAGCTATCATAAAATCAGTTTTTTAGTGAGACATCCATTTTGAACTCATTTGGGAAATGAATGAAAAATCCTTCAAGTTACAGAAATTGGTAGGCTAGTTTCAGTGTTACTATCCATACGTAAACTCATCTAGAAAGATATTACTTTGCTAATTAATTGATCTATCTGGATTCTAATGTAAGCACTAAATCTGCAGCAGATCATGCTTTTGACTAAGAATCTGAAAGCCTTTGGAGTTGATCTCTTTGTAAGAGAGAAGTGAAGTAAATGGAGAGAAGGAAGAAGAGCAGAAGGCTAAGGATTGAGATTCTTTCTGGTGATGTTCAAACACAAATTCCCCCAACTTAAAGCTGTGCAGTAATTGGAGGATCACCAGTTAGCTTCTCAGAACTCTCCTAGCAATTGGGAAGGGGGCGGGGACATCTGCAGAGAAAAGGGACCTGACGTTGGTACTTAGGAGAAACTTCACATGAACCTCCTTTGCTAGGTAAAGCTGCACCAAATCATCCAAACAGCGTGCTGTCTGTATCCTCTGCTTTGATGGTTCCTTCTGTTTAACACTTTCATGTGGTTTCTGTTGCAATATGGAAGACAGAACCACTTATTTGATAGGAGAAAATAAGCTTTTTAGAATCAAGGAGATAGTTAATTCTTCCTCCCAGGAACATAAGACTCTCAGTAATTTCCCATTAATTACTGGAAATAAAATGACCAGCAACGCTTCACAAAAGCACCACAGTACTATTTATTTTTAAAACAATTTGTGTAGTATGTATTTGATTTAAGTTGTTTTCAGGGTTCATGTATTTTTTGGTTCTTTCCCTAGGAATAAAAATTGAGACTATTTTAAAGGGAGAGGAAAAGAATTCCATTTGACAATAGCTGATTTAAGCTATTGTCAGACAAATTTACCAAATTGGAAAAAATATCCTAAACGTGTTTTGGAATGTTAGTTTCCAAAGTCCACTTGTGTCATTGAAATATGCTGAATCGGTTATATAATTTTGAGAAAAAATCATATTAAAATCACACTGACCAAATTTTATAAATCAGCAAATATGTAGGTTATATTTGTCTTGGGATATCCCATCTTGATGCTTGAGAAAACTTTACAGTGAAATGGTTGCATAAAGTAATTCTTACTCAAACGAGAGAAAGAATTCTAGAAGCAGTTTACGTGCAGAATTGCAAAGCTTATGTACCACAGTGAGGGTCTTAGTCTGCTGAACAGCTCTTTTCTGAATAATACTAGTAGCACAAATTAGAGGTGAGATTCCTTTCTCCAGTAGTATCTTTTAAGCAGCATGAAAAATAATGCAAAATTCAAATTCTATAAAACTGTACAAACCTAAAATAGATTCTTTTCTCATAGACCTATAAGAGTGACTGACTTACTGTAATTTGAAAAAAGTAGTTTATGTTCTTTAAATGGTATACTGAGTGTGTTAACACCTCCTATGGGAAGGGCATGGCAAGGCGATTGTGCATATTTCCAATGCTAAGGAAAGATTTAAACATACTGTGAGGCTCTGCTTGTAGATGAAGATTGAGGGGTGATTATTGCTCTTTTTGAAGTGTCAAAATGAAAAGAAAATCAAAATTGTTTAAACCTGACAGGAAAGAATGTAAATACAAGTTTTTCTAGAGCTACCTAATCTTAATTTTGAAACTTAAATTATTCATCCACCTGTTAATTATTTAGCTAGTTTATGTAGTTCATAAGGTAATAGAAAAGGCGATCATGAAAGCATGTATATATCTGGACAGAATCATGATATTGCTGTAAGATGTAGATTTAGTTAGGTTACCAGGTGTTAAACGACTTTGATATTATTAAATAGATCAGACTAGAAAACTAACCACAACATATAATGTAACAAAAATAAATGGGGGATATGGAAATGTAGGATGGACTTTTCTTACTAAAAATAATAAGTTTGCCATTTTAAACTGCTATTTGTTAGATTTAGCTGTAAGTAGGTAAATATGGTGCCATTTGTGAAAATTTGCTTTAAAGCATTTACCCTTAGTTTTTCCTTTATCTTTTTAAAATGTATTAAATGTGAAGTGAATTTTAATTTTGATTTGCAAGTACCACCTTATAGAATTTAACAAGCAGATATGTTACATATTACTTTAAAGTAGGAGGTATTCAAAATGAAGGATATGTAAATCTTCTATTACCTTATGGAGAGACGAAATGAGCAACATTATTTAGTAAATGAACAAAATAAATTTAATTCATGACACGTTCTTTCTTTTTCCACTATGGCCTCTTTTACCAAAAACACTGAAGAACTAGGTAACAGTTTTTTTAAATACATAAATAAATGCGGAACTAAGCATGTCTAGCTAATGTATTGCCATTCTTTTGGACTCTAGTTATTAGGCTGTTGATTTGTTATGGAACAAATGAGAGGCTCAGGTGTGCAAGTTTCTGATTAAAAAAAACAAAAGCCAGATGGACTCACTTCTATCCTCTGTGCTCTGGGCAGAGAATCCTGCTCTGCTTCTGTTTATGTCCACGGGCCTCAAAGTGTCAGCTTGAAGGACAGCCTTCTGGCCATGGCTGTGGGCTGGTTACCACCTAGTCAAGAACAACAGACAATATACAGGGTGTATACCAGCCTTTACTTTGAAAGATCATCATCAGTGGAGTCCTCATTAGTATTGATATTGCAAACATTCTTATACTTCTGGGTGGAATTAGTAAATTTTGTAATGCCTCTTCAATAGGGGTTCTGTCTGCATTTCAATGCAAAGCTGTTGTGAGCACTGTATCGGAAAAACTTTTGTATTTGAGTTGATATTTTGAAACACCATAGGCTGCTTGGTTCCTTTCATTAAAAGAAAAGTTTCCCTAACATAGAAATTTCAGATATTCTGTTCAAGTAGATTTGGTAGAAGTGCAAAAAAT